CGTGTGCGGCGGCGGGCAGCCGGGGCCGGCCGGGCGCCACGGCCTGGCCGGGCCCGCGATGGTCCTGCGGCCCCAGCTCAGCGGGCGGGCCCTGCACCGCCGCCCACCAAGTCTGCACTGCCCCGACGCATGCGCCACCAAGCGCCCGGCGTCCTTGTACGATGTGCGCATGTTCGCATGCAATGCGTTCAACACCTGGAAGACAACATGCACGCTCACCTTCATGTACCGGCCGGCCTGGCGCATCATCCAGACGGGCGGGCGCTCAACCGCATCGCCGCGCAGCGCGCGCAGCATCAGCGGCGCGTCCGCGGCGGCCGAGGCAGCCTCTGCGCTGACAGTCTGGGGCGCGGCGGCGGCGACGGGGCGGCAGACCACGCGGCGCGCGCCAGAGGCGCGCTGGAGGGGGCGGGGGAGCGGAGCGTGCGGGCAGTGGGCGGGCAGCAGGCAGCGGGTGGGGCGGCTGTGAGATGGCGGTGCTCCGCGTTGGAGCATTGACTCCTACTGTCCACAAGATGCCCTAAAAGCAGTGTGCATAGAGAGGACCACGTCGAGATGGGACTGGATCGCTGCTCCCGGTTGGTGGGCGAGCTTTCCTCCCTCTCCCGCGTGTACCAGTTACAAGCGCCCTATAATTGCGCTCACCAGCCCTGCATTCTGCTTAAGGCCGGCCTGGGCCTTGCCGGAGAGAAGGGCCATTGCGATGAGAGTTCTCCGCGCAGCGTGCGACGGACTGAAAAGGGATAAGAGATCTGCAATCTAACGATACACCTCAATACTTTCATGCTACACGCACAGCAGCCTTAGCTGCTTGCACGTTCCGCTGAGCCATCGCCGAACATGCGCCTGCTTGGCTGCCATAGCTCCCCCAAGATATTCGCGCCCCTGGCTGCCGGGTGGGGGGCCTGTGGGCAGCGGCGAGACGCTGAGAACTCAGCCAGCGGTTTTGGTTGAGGACCCTGCAGCAGACTGGCGTTGGCGAGTCGCGGCCCGGCGTAGGTGCACTTGCAAGGGCGGTTGACCAGATACCGCGATAGATCTTGAAGGTCAAATTCAGTGCAGAAATCATAACATTGTTGCATGGTGATATTACTCAGCAGTTTTTGAATATTGTCTGCGTGGCACAAGGGTTGAGTTGCCGCAGCGGCGTTGACCCCTTCGTCGCGTGCCAAACACAGAGCGGATACATTGCCGGCTGCAGCTTACTCATGCAGCCCACCAGCTGACGCGCACGCTAGTGCACTCATAACTAATCAAGCTCCTTGCGGCATGCCAGCCGGCGTGCCATACAGCAAGCCAGGTGGGCATTGACCCGTCATTCCCCGTTACAGGTAAGGTGCCGAGTAAGCAAGTCGCCGGTTGTTCACTGTTGAGTGTCCGTCACTTTGCTGGTGTGATCCCAGCAGCGCTCCTCAGTTCATGAATGCAGTGATCAGATACAGGAAATGATAGTTAACTATAGCGTAGCTACACATCAAAGGGGCAAACGAGACAGCCCGTGTGTTTTGCATCGAACGGGCATACAGCCTGCCTTCCCCCCCCTGCACACACATACATGGCGCACTTGCCGACCAACCACCGCAACGGCAGCGTGTAGACGCAGTGATGGTCGTTTCATAAAAGCGGCGTCCATAGCTTTAGTTGCAAGTCTTGAAGGCACACGCGGACGATGACGCTGGGATCGACTGCCTGTAGCGCCCCGCTGCAAGTTGCGTCAACCCGCGGCCCATGAAGTTTGACCGGCGTGCGAAGCGCCAGATCGCCGAGCGCCACCTAGGTAACACTGAATCCCAATTTACGGTACATTGTAATTTTTTCTGCATTGGGGCCTTCTTTCCCTCTTGCGCCGGCGGTTCTGGCTCGGCAACAGACTTGAGCCAGTTCAAGTTGCGCATCAGTGTCTGCCAGCACAGCGCGCTCAAACACTGCTGTACCTGGCGCGCCTTCAGCAGCATAGCATCAGTAATACAATCAAATTGCGATTGCTCCTAGGCCCACCGTGGCGCGTTGAGGGCTGTTGCCCTGGAATTCGAATTGGAATGACTTCACACGCGCCGTTTGCCGACCTGAGCAATGTTGGTGGACACATAACTAGCCCTGAGACGCCTGCGGGCAAGCCTGGGCCCTGCAGCGGCCAGGAGGAGCGGGGAGCTGACGGGAGCCTGTTCAACCTGCGCAAGCACAGCCCCTGGACCGCGGCTAGGAACAAGAAGAAGACAAAGAACGCCCTGTTATCTGACGACGATGATCCCATGCCTGCGTGCTTCAGCAGCCCAGGTGCGGGGTTGCGGTCCGCAAGGCGCTGTGATGGGATGCCCCCTCCCCAGGCAGCAGGCGCCAACTGATGGGGCCGTGCAGTGCTCGACTGCTATGTTGCCATCGACATCACACATACAAACACACACACATACTCACTCTCTATCTTGCACACGCACACATACACACACGCGCGCACGCATACACACAGGCACTCGCGCACACTGCACTCGACTACCCACACGCACCACTTTTGCAACCCAACCCTGATGTATGCCACCGCTTTCGCCGCTGGCCTTGGGTTGCGCTGCAGAGTCGACAATCAAGGCGGCCTCGTTTGCAGCAGACGACGACCCACTGCTGTCCGCCTTCGGCGCCGTCGCACTGCGCACGCCCGCCGTCCCCGCAGCTGCCCAGCAGCAGCACTACCACCAGCAGCAGCAGCAACACCAGCAGCAGCAGCGGCGGCCACCGCTCGCCTGCCCCTCGTCGCCGCGCGACCCGTCGCAGACGCACCCACACCCCTCAAAAGCATCCTCCACGCACTCTGCATCACAGCCCTACGCCGACTCGCCATCCGAATGGGGGCTCGGCCCGAGCGGCCCGCGGCGCCCCGACACCACGGCTCAGCGCGCGGCGGGCGCCAGCAGGGACGACCCTTCAGGCGCCGGCGCCGACGCCCCGGCAGTCCCCCGCCCCGCCGGCCCCGCCCCCGGCAGCGGGCCCGCCGGCGCCCGCGCCGCGGGGTGGCGCGGCGGCTTCCCTTCCGGTGCCCTGTCCCTCGCGGCGTCCGCAGACGGCGGGCTGCCGCGCTGCGCCAGCGAGGGGCCCCC